TTAAATAATTTTAGATACAGTGTTGAATTAAGTTTCCTACAAATTTCGAACGTCTATCATTAATAATAATTTGCAAAATACGCACCGTGTAATACAAAGCCTCCTTAGGCTGTTTCCCATATTTCTTATGCAACACCTCCTGATAAATGCCCATTCTGGCACTGACGAACAAAGCCACGGTCAGCAGCGCGATTCCTAGCGCCCACCAGAAGAAATCGTCCCAAGGTGTCGTCACCTTTTGCTCAGCGTTCTTCGACTGGATCGACTTAATCTCTTTACTGCTAACCACAGTGCAGATCGCTATACCCATGGTGATCATGAACACCGAGAGGTACTTGCTGAACGCATAGCTCTTCTTCAGGATCATTATACTCATCACCATATTCGCTATCAGAGAACCCTGCATTCAATAAACGATTTTAACTCTTAAAATCCACTGACTTTCATTCATTCGTTAATTGCACTCAATCAAGAAAACATTTTATTTTGCAACTTGCAATGGACGAAAACTACTTACAGCTCTGAATATCATGTGCAAAGGCATGGGAATGTTAAAATCGAATGCGTAATTGTTGCAGACGTTTGCAATAAAGAACATTGTCACTAATAGGAAATAATCCTTGATACCGATCTTAGGTTTCACAGTCCCACATTTTGAGGTAAAGATAAATCCTTCCAGAGATATAAAAAGAAATTGAGAGAACGTGATAAGATTCCCGCTTCCTGGATCATCTCTGTGAAGAAAGAAGCCAGAAATCTTAGGCCTTGAATTCATTATCACTGTTATATAATTGTGGGTCTAAGGCTGTGCTAACTTGACAAGGAGCTCGAGAAAAACGACGTTGCTGCAACAGCCAAGGAAAACAGAAGCAATGGCTGTAACTGCTTTACTACTTAGTCCCTTCTCCATTTGCATTTAGTAAAATATCAATAGATGTCTGTTAACTAGGAAAAAACAGAATGAGAATCTGAAAAGTGAATATTAAAAAAATAAACAGTATTATAATTATTGCTTTTATGTTCACTTATAATGTTTTATGAACTGTTTAAGATTCGATTGTCTTACCAAGTAAAATTGATAAGATTTCGTCGAAGAGTCAACCTTGAAATCTGAAATAAACGAAATAATAAATTTCACAATCCTCTGAGGAATCTAATAATTTCGTTGAAAAGTCAACGATTATAATTAAAATAGGAGACAGAGAAGGTAACCATCGAGGGTTAACCTTCCTAAAACTTCTGTGTTATCGCTATTATTTTAAAATACAGTTCCAGTTTGCAATTTTCTACTAACTTCGAGTGCGGAATTATATATCGTTTGAAACGCAAGTTCGATGCAAAATATGATGTATCATTGCTGGGAACGTGACATAATCAAGTAGTTATATCTACTCCGGGCGCGGGGACACGCGACAAATTACTGACAATTGATTGACTGTTGTTAGATAGCAAATCGTTTGAATTTATTAGAGAACTCGACGGTATACATATATATATGTATTAGATACATACGGAAACTTCGTGAGATTGACAACAGTATAATCAACGCGAATGAAGCTAGGAATTCAAGATAGTCGTCTGCGTTGGAGGCCGCGCGCATGCGTATTATATTGTTGGTTCGATTTCAATTCGATATCGACTCGATTTCGAGATTTTATTTCGATTTTCTGCTTTTAACTCGATTGTGACTCTTTTGTTAGATTTTAATTCGTTCTTGACTCGATGTGATTTGGTTTTGATTCGGTTTTTTGCTCAAGGCGAGAGATTCCCACCTGGGCCGCCATGTTGTACCAGTCAGAAGCCATCATAGATTGCCAGCATCATTCTTGTCCCGGCTTGTCCCGTTCGTCGGATGTACAGCGTACAGCGTACAGCTTCGTTTCAGTTCATGAGCAGTTCATGAGTTCAGTGCAGTTCTGGGGGGGCAAACCTAAGTGGGGCGAGTTGAAGCAAAGTTTGTAGCGCCTCGTACCAATGGTTCACGAACTAAACATCACAACCACATCTTTAAAATATGTCCGTGAGCACTACCACATTCGTGCTACTGTCGGTGTAATGCTTAGTTAGTTAACCAATGGTAGGAGGCGCTAGTGACAGCACTACACATGCGTATAGAGTGTCAACCAGAATTTGGCGCGAAAAGAAAGACCACGTTTCATAAAGATTCGAGGTTATAAAAAGTCGGTTGCCTTTTAAATTCGTGTGAGTGGTGATCGTGGTGATCGAAGTGGTGTAAAGCGTGTAAAGTTCAATTAATCGTCGAAAATTAATTGGAAGTTTTAGGAAGAAGAGGAGCATACTGTAGTATATACAGTATAGACA